TCGAATCTACCAGATGGTTCTGGTTCCGGTTCCGGTTCCGGTTCGAGCCGGTTAACACGTAGGAGAAGCAGTTACAGATCTACAAGCAGTATACGAGAGATGGATCTGATATCGCCGGAAGCAGTTTCTGATCTAAGATCGATTGTTCAACGAATGGTCGCCGCCGGTTACTCCCGTGAATGTATCCAAGTGTACGGAAACATTCGTAAATCCGCCATGGAAACGATACTCAAGCAGCTAGGGATTGTGAAAATGAGCATCGGAGATGTGCAAAGGCTTGAATGGGAAGTCGTCGAAGGCAAAATCAGAAGATGGATCCGTGCAGCGAAGGTTTGCATCAGAGTTGTCTTCTCCAGCGAGAAGAGATTATGCGAACAGCTATTCGACGGTATTTGCACGGCCATGGATGAGACTTGCTTCATGGAGACGGTGAAGTCATCAGCTCTAAGACTGTTCACTTTCCCTGAAGCTATTAGCATTAGTAGAAGATCACCTGAGAAGCTCTTCAAGATTCTTGATTTACATGATGCAATGATGGATATGTTGCCTGATATAGAAGCAATATTTGATTCGGAAACTTCGGATGCTATTCGTGTTCAAGCAGCGGAGATTCAATCGAGGCTAGCGGAAGCAGCTAGAGGGATACTTTCGGAGTTTGAGAACGCGGTTCTTCGCGAGCCTTCCGTAGTTCCTGTCCCTGGTGGAACTATACATCCATTGACAAGGTATGTGATGAATTACATCAGCTTGATCTCTGATTATAAGCAAACATTGGCTGATTTAATCATGTCGAATCCGTCAACCGGGTCTGATCCAAACACGCCGGATATGGATTTCGCTGAGCTAGAGAGTAAATCACCATTGGATTTGCATTTGATATGGTTAATCGTGGTATTGCATTTCAACTTGGAAGAGAAATCCCACCACTATAGAGACACGTCTCTAGCTCACATATTCATCATGAACAACATCCATTACATTGTTCAGAAAGTAAAAGGATCACCAGAGCTAAGAGAAATGATCGGAGACCATTATCTAAGGAAACTCACTGGGATATTCAGACACGCAGCTACAAACTACCAGAGAGCCACATGGGTCAGAGTATTGAACAGCCTAAGAGATGAAGGGTTACATGTGAGTGGGAGTTTCTCCTCCGGAGTATCAAAAAGTGCATTAAGAGATAGGTTTAAGGCATTCAATGCAATGTTCGAAGAGGTTCACAGGACTCAATCAACGTGGTCGGTTCCAGATGCTCAGCTTAGAGAGGAACTCAGAATATCTTTATCCGAGCATCTAATCCCGGCTTATAGATCGTTTCTTGGAAGGTTCAGAGGACATATAGAGAGTGGAAGACACCCTGAGAACTACTTGAAATATTCGGTTGAAGATATCGAGACAATCGTTCTAGATTTCTTCGAAGGATATACCACACCGCCACACTTGAGGAGGCGATAGAAGAAGGTCGAAAAACCCGAGAGTTTGTCTTCTTTCTTTCTTTCTTGATTCAGCTACATTAGGATGTCATAGAATAGAGCCATTCTTTGAATTTTTATTCACGGGTTGGTGCCAAGGAACCCAATGGAATAATCTCCAGTAAAACATATATTTGTGTGTTGTTGTTTGTGCCATATGTATACTTTCTTCTTTTAACCAAAGTCCCCTGATTGATCATAAAACCAATAATTGCCATGTAAATTTCCGCAATGTGCCACGTCCTCTGGTCTTTTGCTCCATTTCTGTTGTTGTTTGTGTAGTCATGTTACAGCCAAAGATAGTCAATGAACAAGCAGGGCCTTTGTTTGCAAACTGTTACCTCAAGACTTCATTTGAGAAAAGACTTATTTATTGATTAGCAAACAAATTGCGATGTTTTTTTCTTTTAAAAATGTAAAATAGATCCGAAGACAAAGGCACACACATTAATTATTTTTGTTATTTTCTTCCAAAATGAAACATGGGACCTGTGTAAGTGCCCTAAATCAACACACCAAAAAGGCCCGTCATAAAACTTGCAAGCCAAAGCAGAGCATCAAGCCAAGAATAAAATGGGGCACAATAAGCTTTAATCAAAGTCAAGAAACTCCATTCTCTTCCTCATTGTTCCTCTCAGCTCACTCGCTTCCCTTTCCACCTTTTGCGCCTACACACATTCCCCAAAAACCAAATCATCAGTATACACACAACATCACGAAATGGATCAAATTTTGCTATATCTATTTGTTAGAGCATGTAATGTGATGTCTTACCCTTTTAATCTCTGTCTCTGAGACGCGAATCATATGTGGAGGAAGCTCGTCTCTCTCCGTGTCCTAACACATGGTCAAAGACCAAATCAGTGAATAGGAAAACACAAGTGAGATAACAGAATTATAAAGGGCAATGAGAAGTCTTACCAGCTCACCAATCAGAACAACATTCTCTCCACGGATTACATAGAGGCCTAAAGGAATGTCGCAGTATTGTTCACCAACAATTACCCTCTCGCACGCACCTTCTAGAACCGCATTGGCTGTGTATCCACAACGAATAAAGCATACTTTTAATCTCTCTCCCAGTAACAAATATCATAAATGTCGGAGAATGAAAATGAAAAAAGAGCATACCAAATTGATCAAAAGAACGAAGCGTTCCCATTAGCTTTCTACCATCTCTAAGGAGCACAAGTAGTTTTCCTGCATCATCGAGTGCAGCACCAACGTACATAAGTAACTGACGCTCAGTGATTCATACTCTAAATGAGACTGAAAATAAACCCATATCCCCAAAAAAAAATCTACAAAAAGAAGATCATGAACCTCCAAAACTCAAATAACCAATGTCGAGAAGAACTCGAAATTGGATTCTTCAGTTCAGGCGATAGTGAATCAAATTCAACAAAGGTTAATGTATAAAGTTGAATCAAGAACGAGCCAGCAACCCCATCATATTACCGCGTGCAAGATAATAGCTTAACAGTAACCACTGATGACCTCAGATTTGACCTACTAACTAAACTTTTAATCTCTTAAGTCTTAATCAAGGAAAAGAGTGTCTCTTTGCGATTGAACAATCTAACATCAAAATTGACAAACTTTGAATGAACCCGTAGAAAGCTACAGCCAAATTATCAATAAGAACTCGAAATCAAACACAAGAAACATTGAATTGTTTACAAGATTGAGCTCCCTAATGCATTCAAAGACATAAGCTTCAAAAGAAACAGTAAATTTAGAGAGAAAGAGAGACGGATTACTATCGAGATAACTGGCGAGTGAAGTTGAAAGATAGATATCTTCAGGACCAGCCCAAGACATCGCTACTGACTCAATCCGCTCGAAATTGGAGAAAAAGTTTCGGTCTTTCTTAAAAAACACAACCGATATCAGATTCCACTACAACAGATTGTATTGGTTAATCGGACAGATAAGGAGTAGCACTCAGACGAATCGAAAATT